ATTGTAGTAGTAGTAGTGGTACTAGTAGTAGTAGTAGCAGTAGTAGCAGTAGCAGTGGCAGCAGCAGCAGCAGGAGCAGCAGCAGGAGTAGTAGTAGTAGTAGTAGTAGTAGTAGTAGTAGTAGTGGTGGTAGTGATAGTAGTAGCAGTCGTAGTAGTAATAGTGGTAGTAGTAGTAGTAGTAGTAGTAGTAGTAGTTATTATTATTATTAGTAGTAGTAGTAGTAGTAGTCGTCGTGGTGGTGGTAGTAGTAGTAGTAGGAGTTGGCATAGGGGCAGCAGCAGCAGTCGTCGTCGTTGTGTGTTGGTGCCGTCGTCGTTGTCATTAGTCGTAGTACGTCGTAGTCGTAGTCATGTCCGAGACCGGCACACGGCAATATCACTGAGGTCGTGCAAGCAGTCGTGGAGGGAAGACCTTCGCAGACCACTTTTTGTTATTGTGGTCCAGAATGCCGCACGCAAGTTTCCTCTCCAGGTGCCAGACTCGATCTTCGCCCATACAAACGCCTGACGGAAGCCGCTGATCGCACGATCTGTTCTGTTTGCATGGGCCCAGGCATATTCCATGGCCAGACTGCCACGTCGGACAACGGTGATCCTAATCACCCCCTCTTAGGCGAACCTGCCGAGACGTCTTGAAGATCTGGTGCTGCTTTCTGGAGCTGAAGAGCCTGAACGGCGGGTTGTGGCTGCATGACATGCTTCGGGCTTGATTGATCCACCGTGCGCACACCGGGCCCGCAAAGAAGCAAGCCGATGGACAGTCCTGGACACCCCATCAACAGCCTGCTCGGTTCGAACTCTTGGCAGGAAGCACGGGGCATTGGGGACTCAGGCACGAGCTGGTCCAACCTCTGCTTGTTAGGCATGATGCTGTACCTCGTACATTCATGCCCCACCCGCATGGCGGCACTGCAAGATGAGGGAAGACATTCCTACTGAAAGTCGTGAAGCGTAATTGATGCACTGAAAGTTTTGACGAGGATGCGGATGCGCGTGCTGACGATGGTCATCATGTCGTAGTGCTGATGACGCAGATTTCGATGAGGTGCCATCTGCTGTGACATGCGAAAAACCTCTGACCCCTCCGCAGGGCGCTCGGTCGAATCTCAGGGTAGTGCGGTTGTGTGGTGGCGGTGGCGGTGGTGACCATGCAAACGACGATGATGACACAGAAGTTTACTGCACGCTGATGATGGTCGTGAGAACAGTGCTCAACATGACGTTCATACACAGAGAGAGGCATGCCGGTAAGGATTGCATCGTCGTCCCCATCCTCCCCAGCATCGATAGCTATGATCTGCAAGCGAACGAGTCCCGCGCTGCAGGACTTCTGGGTCGCCTAGAAGGGACACCTTGCTGCAGCCCACGAGATGTGAAGCATACCTCTGCGCCTATGGAGCTACCACCAGCTCTTTCCGGTAATGGCACATGAAACTACAGTTCATCCGAAGCCTAAGCCTGGAGGCCCTTCCAACATCTGCCGCACGACCGCACACCTTGCACTTATAGTGACCCTGATAGAACAGTTATAGGACCACTATAGAACCCTTCCCCGTAATCTGAAAACCCAGCCACTCCGATCTCAGTCTTCTCACGACTTGGCACGCAGCGAGTAACCCTGAGCCATGAGCTCGACCTACTCCCATCAGCATCGTTATGATCTCTCCATCTTGATTCTTAGCAGACCCGGAATTAAATACACGGGGGTTTCCGAAAATAGGGGACCCTAATGTAGTACCCTAAATAATAGGATCCTTATTATAAGGACCCCATAATAAAGTACCCCTTGTTTTCGGAAACTCCCACACAGCAAGAGAGACATCCGGTCTGCTGTCTGACTCCCGTGATCACTCGAGGAGATTAGAACGAGGCGTGCCTTCGCCCTGTCGACAGGCCCGGCCTTGCTGGGGGTTTCTGAAAATAGGGACCCTAATATAGTACCCTAAATAGTAGGGTCCTTAATATAAAGACCCCAAAATAAGGTACCCCTCATTTTCGGAAACTCCCTGCTGGCAGGAGCGCAGCTTCCACAAAAAGCTGAAGTTAAAAAACTTCTGAAATAAGGGGTACTAAGGGTTTCTATATATAAGGTTCTGAAATACGGGTATTAAGGGATTTGATAAAGTTCTGAAGTAAGGGGTATTAAGGGTTTGTATTTTCTGAAATAAGGGTATTAACGGCTTTTATAAAGAAAAAACCAAGGAGGGTTGTTATTAAAAAAACCTCTTTACAAATCCTGCCTCCCAGAGCCGAGCTACTTAGCCACTTCAGAAGAACACTCCGCACAAGACGAAGGTTGCTCTGCTCAGAATCCTTCACGGCGCAGAACGGAAAGGAGACGGAAAGGATTTTGGTGCCAAGAGCAAGTCGGTGCAGGGCTTCCAATTTCGGGTGTATCCTGCTTTTGCAATTGGGGCTCAGTTGGTTGTCATGTGGCCAGCCGGCGCTGGCATACCAGAAAAGCTTGCCTTCACAAGCGAGTCCTTCGCAGACTGATCAGGGCCGGGCTGGTTCTATTCGTCTTTGGACGAAATGTCTTCGAGGCCTCCAGGCACTTCAATCCAGCGCACCCGACGGAAAGAAACCGGCGCTACTCATGCGTACTGTGTATACCGGATAGATGGATACATAGACAGCTAGATTCATTAATGCAGATGACCCCGAGTAAGTCATTACACCCTCCTCCATACATCGAGCTTCGGCACGATGGGCATGCATGAGCTGAGGGCATGGCTCGACATGTTGCTTCGAGTCGTTGCTGTCCGCTTTGCGAGTTCCGAGCTCTTTCCGGCAAAACGGAATTCAGATACGTTTGGCTTCCGGAGTTCTAAGGCCCATGAACAGTTGACCTTTGTTTTGGGACTGGACTCAAGCCAGACCTCGACCTGCAATCATCTTAACCGAGGCCAACTCCAAGTGCTGTGCTGTTCGACTAGGGAGACAGAGCATCAAGTCAACTGACCCTGAACCCAGAACCATGAACCATCGCAGTGATACGAAATTCGAAACCCTTACCTACAAGTCCGGGGCGAACCCAACCCTGAAAACCCGAGCTGAGGCTCATGCACACCAAACAGCCGACATCCGTGGAGCTTTAACCTGTCTTACGGCAGTCTGTCAGAGTCTGTGCGGGCAGAAGAACATTGTGCCGTTGAAGCAGCAATGGCTTGGTGGCACTCTGTTTCTAAGGTAGAACCCATGGGCCCCTAGTACGGGCCCTTTGCCCTGGGACCCTAATATACCTACTATATACCCTATATATACCCTTAACGGGCCCTAGAATCCCCTAAGGGCCCATGTTAGGGGCCCATGGGTTCTACCTTAGACTGTTTCACTACTCATACCGTCTTATCAGTCTCACCCCTTCCGCATCTGTAAACAGGCTGCGGTGACTCCTTGAGAAGTGCCGGCTGCTCACTAAGATCGACACTGCCCAACACCTGCCAAGCGCAGTATGAGACCATTGACGCCGGCACATGTAGACATTGCTACGAGGCTACGAGCCGCGCACACTGAGTTCCAGATCGGAAAGGTCGGAGACTGATGCCAAGAGCTCGTTGTGAATACCTGGCAAGATTGTGTGCTCTACAGCCTGGAGCTGGGTCCCAAACAAAGGTCGGACACAATTTTGTCTGAAATGTCTGATTGCGCGAAGCTTCCTGGGACCTGGGAAAAGGTCATGCAAGCGTGCTACGATGGGTCTTTCTTGCTCCAACCAAAGCCATCGCAAGGCATAGCTTCAGGCTCAAGCATGTCGATCCTGCAGTGCAAATACACCTTTGGCATCATTGAAGCCTCCTCGCACACCTGCACGACTCGTGAAGATGTGCTGAAGTTGCTCAAATTTACAGTATGCGAAACCGTAGCAGGTGCAGCAAGATGGCAAAACCTGCTTGGGTGAATCTGCTGTCGCAGGGCGCCGACGTGCTTCGGCCAGAAAGGGCATCATCAAACAACGCCTCTGAACGTGACGAAGATCTCCGCGTCCCAGGAAAATCGCGCGGTGTGCTATTGTACATGCCACAAGATCATCGCTCACAACTCTGCCGAGCTTTTGAAGGAAACAAAGTAGTCTTAATCCAACTTCGCAACATCCGCAACTGTACTGGAAGCATGACTTTAATACCTCCCGGTGCAGTCCAGGAAGCATGTGCCTTAGTAGAACTGAGGCTGTTGAGGAAACTCGATTCCGATGCGATCGCGTTTTGGAGAACTCCTTTCCTGGACTCCGCTTGACTTGGTCAGATTGCCCTAAGCACCCTACCGTTTCTATCTCCTTGTGCTCGTTAGGGCTCTGCTTCCTGGATCTTCCTCGTGGAGTTCTCTTCTTCCACACGGACAAGAGGAGCAGTCGGACTTCTCTTACAAGATCGCAGTTTTACCCATCCTCGCAATTTGCAGGGCAAAGTCATGCTTTCAGCAGCTGGAACCTGCTATTGCCCAGAGCCGGGATCTAGCTCGCGAAGCAAGATCACAGCGAATGCCATGGCAGTGAAACATGAATGTCTGAGGGGCAGGGCTCGGGACCTGCGAGAATCTTCGCGACACGCAGGTCGCTCCACGTCAGTCCACCCTTCTGGTCTCTAGGTCTCTTGGTACACGTCTAGGCCCGTCCTGTCCCTTCAGAAGAGGCGGGAGGTAGCCGCAGCGACTGGGGGTATGCGGCCGGAGCGGGCTTGAACTCCTGGCAGGAAGGCATGTGCTGGGAGGGTTTGTGCATGTCGCGGGACTTGAAAAAAGAGCTCAGGAAGCAGAGAAATTCATGGCCATGGCCTGCTGTGGAGAAGCTGATGCTGGAGCTGCTGGAGCTGAACGTCTACGCCGCTGCTGCGACTGCCAAAGCATCTCGTAGGTGCTGCGGTGCCCAGCATTTCGAGCGTAGTCCAAAGCACTGCGTCCCGCTTGATCCACCTGCAAGTACCAGAAGAATTGCGGTTCTGCCTGCCCTAGCCCACCAAGCGGCAGCAGAACAAGAGCCCAAATCTGGCCTGGCTAGGGTCCGCATCATGCAGCAGCAGCCGGGCGCACAATGCCTTGTTGCCTTCAGATGCAGCCCAGTGCAGCGCTGTCCACTCGCGGCGGCCTTCATGTACAGCCTGACTGACATCGAAATCAAGCGGAACACGAATGGGATGCACAAGCACAGCGCTCCCAGGCTATACGGATCCACCACTGTCCTGCCACCCATAGTTCTCCACGGCTGTGACGGCAGCTGCAAGCACAGGGTGCATCGCTCCGCCCTTAGCTGCACAAGAAACCAATTGGGTATGCATTCATCAGAAGCCTCTCCAATGTGAACTATCATGAATATCATGTGTCGATATTGCTGGCACTCAGTTCATCAAAAGTCTTAGGATTCCTATTGCCAACAAACCTGCTACCAGTAATGCACTGACAGCCGGCCTGGCCGAGATCGGCATCAGGCGCATGGGCCACGAGAAGATTGGAAACCTGGTTTAGAGTTGTTTTTCCCCTCGCAAGGTCTTTGCGGAGCTGTTGTCGTTGCAACTGTGTAACCCATCTTGCGCTAATATCGGTTTATCTTGGCTTTGTGGCATTGTTTTCAATGTGGTTTGTGGCTGTGGAGGTGGCATTCCCGGTCCTTCGTTGTCCGCTGACACCGAGTCCAAAATGCGCCAGACGGCCAACCCCGAAGATGGAGAACGGACAACCTTACCGCGGCGGTGCCGCAAGACTCCACCAATCAGCACAAGACTCCAGAAACCAAGATCGACGGCTGGAAAAACAGTAAACCTCGAATCAGTCCCGACTGTAAACCTGTGTCAGCCTTACAGGCCGCGACGTACGCTTAGGCTTAGCCCGTGCAAGTCTCTATATTGCAGTGCCACACCTCCACCTCGCCAGCCTCGTCGGCGCAGTCGAGCGGCGTCCACCCGCGCTCGTCCTGTTTAATGCTTGGTACACCCCTGTGATTTGGCGTTTTTCTGCCGGCACAGCCTGGCAAGGATTCGACAAATCTTTCACAGCTACCCTAGGGGCTTTAATCAGAAGAACAGGGTTCTGGACTATAGTGTATTACACTACAATCATATCAGCGACTGAAAAGGGGATACCTGTTCTAATTGTTCCAACCCGTATATTGTCTGATCTCCGAGCAGATGAGGCTAAGCAGTGGCCGAGCAAAGGGGTCCCTATGTAGTCTGGCTTTTACCAGTCCGACCAAGCCAACCTAACCGCAGAAAAAGAGTACCTCACATGGCCTAGGGTTTAGCGGCATCGTCTTGTGGTGGAGGCCCGCTTATGATGGAACCGGAGCCCACAGCAAGCCGTGCTGCTTGGGACGCAAGGCTCCCAAGTTCACATACTCGCGGGAAGATTGCCAAGGGAGCATGGGCTGTTTTCATGCAAAGGACATATAAGCTTGTCATATCTCCACCCACATATATACCCGGGCACGCTTGCAAAAATTTGCGACGTTTGCAGACGTTGGCAACAAGGGTCTCTGGGAGCACCATCCAGAGCAAAGGACCAAGGGTTGAAGCCAGGTGCGAAAAGAGGGAAGCAAGGCGGGTATGGGTGTTCACCAGCGTGCTCAGGTACCGTGTTGGTGAGGGTAAAGTACAAGCAGCAGGGAGCAAGGCTCTCGAACCACTTGCGACGAATCACCTTCTTATTGATTCAGCCAACAACTGCATGACACAAGTTCTATTTTCGAAACCAGTGAAGGTTTAGATTTTAGAGCACCTCATGGGCACGGACACATGGGACTACTCGGAAGCAGCTCCTCGCAGAAAGGGTTGGCGCCGGCAGCGAGAAGCCGGCGACAAATCTCCAGCCGGCCTGCGCGTGCTGGCGTTTGTGCATGCATGCATGCACCCATAGGCCCCATAGTAGTCCCTTTTTGGGGTTAAATATATAGGATCCTATAAGGTAACCCCAAAAAGGAACTACTATGGGGCCTGTGGCGTATGGGTATGTATGTACATACGTACGTATGTATGCCTGCATCTGCGTATGTATGTTTTTTTGATGATGATACGGCATCAAAAACTCTTTCCGTCCGAATGAACAAGTCACAGGTCACATCCACAACTCACAAGATGTCCAGAACACAAGCAAGGGCACATGCCTTCCATGGCTGCCCAGTGGAGAATGGTCCAGGCCGGAGGGTCATCCAAGGGATAAACAGCGCTCCAGCCATGTGTTTCGATGCCTGCGGCAGAGCGGTTCTGTCTTCGTCCATTTGTGTATATCGCGGACAGCAGTTTGAGGCTTTGGTCTAAATTTCCGCCCGAATTTTTCGGAGGGCTGATTACAAATATAGTATCAGTCTATAAAGTATAAGCATATTGATCCGCGCAGCTCCAACTCCGGCGCCCAACCTGGACCACAAGCAGCCGCAAAACCCCTCAACTCCGAGCCAGCACTCAAGCCACCAAGTAAGATACGGGCCTTCATGGCCTTCATAATTCGAATGGGGTGTTGGGGTATATCAGACTACTTTTATACTAGAGTACTGTAGACACTACTTACTTATTTTTTCCGACCCCTATATTTCCTCTCTGAAACCGCGGCACCCTCGAGTGCAGCTGCGTAAACCAACGGCATCGAAGAGCTTCCTCCACTGTCGGTGGCACCTCGCGAATTCCGAGCGACGGAGAGACTTTGCCTGCTCCGTAAACCCTAAACCCTAAACCCCTAAACATCAAGATCTGCGCACAGCACCCTTGTCAAGACCTCTCTGTGCCCGTCTCTTCTTCTCAGACTCCACAGACATCTGAAGCCAGAGCCCACAGAACTCAAGACCTGGCAGACCTCAAAACAAAACGCAAAGAGGCCTGCTTCGGATTCAAAGGAGGTCGTTGTAGAGAGAAGCTGCACTGAGGCGCCCGGAAGCTCCACTTGTGCGAAGCTTTTCCTGCAGCTCTTCAGATGGGTGTGTCTTAAGGTGGGGGGTACCTTACCCAGGGCTCCTTGGACTAAGGATTCTACTGTACTCTGTTCTGAAACACCACCCTCACAAAAAAATGCCATTGTTTCCAAACTCTCCAACATGTGGCTGAAGGCAGCACGGCATCGAATCGAAGCAATCAACCAGGATACAACTCTGACATGCTGTCGAGGCACACATCCGCCGGGCGATGGTTCAAGAATTTGTCGACCTGCAAGATCAGATGTTCGTCCCGGTGTCCAGACGCATGCGGTGCAAGATCTCACATGTTGGCGCTACCACAGTGGGATATGGCGGGCCCTACAGCCACAAGCTGCGATTCAATTGAAGCTCTTAAGAGACTCCCATCCAGGCAAAGGTCAAGCATTCAAGCTTGCGGCTGCGACTTCTCCACCCCGTCATGAACCCCATGCCCGTGCTATATCACTCCTCCTCGGCAATGTCGTCCAGCTCCTGACAAGTGGCACTAATCTAAATTAGGCGCATGGCGCCGGCATAAGCCGGCAGTGCCGCAGCAACCGTTGGCATGAACCAGGGCCCTGGAGATGAACCGGAAGGCTGTGCAAATCCCTGCAAAAAGACTTCAAGCACTGAGTGGAGCTCCAGAAGGTCGACGTCAATCTCAGGCTGAGAAGCAGCTCCGAGCCTTGAGGGCAGGGGCTCGGCGTGTTCTCTCGGATTTGCGAAAAAGGGAGTGAAGCAAAGCTTGCTCTGAGACTCTATAGAAATTGAACTGCTCAACAATAGGCCCAGGCCAAGGGGGCTGCGGCTGCGACACTTCTGAGCGAGATGACTCCAACGTCTTGGAAGCCTCAGTCCGTTGCTGTCGCTGTCGGCTCAACTGCATACGAACGGGACATTCCGAAAAAGAAGGATCCCGAATATCAGCCCGTGACTTTGTGTTTGAGTGGATTCGAACCTTGACAGCCTCCGACCGCTCATCATCTTAGGCAACCCGAAAATCATCACAGCTTCCCTTGGTCCAAAGGGCGGCTTTCAGCACGGACTCGGCCTGAGCTCTCGCCGCCTGGCTAGGATCAAACAGTACTGGAGCACGGTTGTATGTATGTATGCATGCATGTATGAATGTGATGTAATGTGATGTAATGTGATGTAATGTAATGTAATGTAATGTAATGTAATGTAATGTATTGTAATGTAATGTAAGATAACGTAATGTAATGTAATGCAGTCTAATGTAGTGTAATATAATGTAATGTAAGATATGTATATATGTATGTGAGCAAGGGGCTCGAACACCGCTGGGCGGATAGCGAAGCTCCCAGGAATGTTTCACGGACATGGAACGTGCCGGCATTGCCACTGGACCCATAACAACAGCCGGAAACGTACTTCGAAACCCCCAGACATCGATGAAACACCCGCCCAAGCCCATTAGGTTAGGGAAGGGTGGTGCATGCACATCATTGACACGTAACTTTATTTCGTATCTGAGGTGTTATTGTACGTATGTGACGCCGAGGCTCCTGCAATCGAAGTCCTATAAGAATTACAGTGTCATGTGCAAGGCCAAGCCTGGGCGGACGCGAGGCTTCGATTCCACGCAGCTGCTGCTGCACCTCGTGTCACTCTGCGGGTTCAGGGGTGCAGGCACGGGCCTACACACAAGGCAACATAGGTATTGGGTCATGCCAGAGCGCGCACAACAAGCTGTGACTTTCTGTAGGGATCCTCAAACTTCGACGGTGGCGGCAGCAGGGCGGCACTGTCCATCCAGCAAGCTCTAACTCACACACATCGTAGTTTTGGTCAAGCCGCTGTGATGGGCAGCCATCTCCTCTCAGCAACACGCTGGGCGGTAGTAACTACCGACCACGTTACGAATTGCAGTGCCAGATGGGTGAAGCAACTTGCTTCCCAAGTGCTGTCTATGCTGCTTGACAACAGCCGGAACATTCCTCTGTCCAAGAGGTAGTCGAATCGCTTTACCCTTGATCAAGACATGGGTATTGCACAGGCCTGGCCCGCTTGTACCCTTTCAGTGGCTTGCTCATGCGTGCAGAAGCGAAACCATCGCCACGATTTTTCTGCACCGGGGTCCTCCCGTGTCCGTTGCTGCGCTGCTTCCAAGCGCGAAAGCTGGCTCGCGGCGTCCTGGCAACCCGGTCACAAATTGATGGTCTATACCTCGGGTGCCGGACCGGATGTATGGAGCGCTGTCATCGCACATGCACTTCACACGTTAACCCCCCGCTACCAGCAGATTCGATGCTATCCGACTCCCGCCTCCAATTGAGAGGTGGTGTTGGCCAGTTGTGTCTCACTGACTTCCCTGGCGATCGTAATCTCAAACTCCAGGCAAATCCGAACAGCTTGCAGCAATTATAGCCATTTGAGTTGGGTAGGTCGCGGAATTGACATTGCTACTGTCCATCCGAATACACAGCTGCTCCTATCGACTCGAACAGTACAGGTTGAAACGAGGCTGCTGCTGAGGCACCTCATGCGCTGGAGTTGATGTCGCTCCTGGACGGCTAAAAATGTGTTGTGGTAAAATAATAAGCGTACCTCCAGTTTTTTGAGGCTATTATATACACAACCTTATAATCGTTGTTACCCAGTAATATGTGTCTGCTCCTAGGTACTTGCCCTGATCCTTTAAGTCTTCTCTGCGGCGCAGCAAGAACTGCGACCTTCACCTACGAAGGACCGTTGAGCAAACGCTTCGTTCGTTCTCCTCGTCCAACTTGGCTCTGGCAGTGGCCAGCTGCTGTTCGCCGGCTTCCCTTGGCCACAACATGCTGGCCGTGCAATCCGTCGCCACTATGTAGGGGACTGGACTGCTTCAGAACAAGCTTTCTTTGGGTGCTCTGCAAACTCCTTCTCTGCACTTGGAGGGGTGTTGGGCAGCGACATCAGTGCCGCATGCATAATGCAGCCGTGGCTTCTTCTTTTGCTGCAGTTGGGCATGCTCCTGCAATCCAAGCTCGGCTCGGCCCTCAAAACCAACAAAACAAGGGTCAATATCTCCTGTTGAGCTGCTTGCTCCATCGCCTGCTCGGTGCTTTGGACTCTCATCTGCAACGCCATCTCCTGAGCTACGTAGCTAGGCGAAGATCACCCCTCATTCCGAAAGATGCGTCTGCTAAGATCGGTGCCGCATTCTGCTGATCGGCCACCACATGCATGGCTGCTTCCTGAAGTACAGTGAAGGCATTTTTCGGCGTTCATGCGCACGGTGAGGACTGAAGAGCAATACTATGGGCAAGAAGAGGGCGCTGCTCCTGGCTGAATGTTGACTGATTTGTTAGGTCGCTGCGTGGTTCGTAGAGGGGTCGCCCTTGTCTCGCTCGGAACACCCTGCTGCTCTGTTATTGCAACAGGAAGTATGAAGGCAACAGCCAATTCCCAAGTGGTAGGACAGCTTGTCAAGGCCAATCAGGGTCCCAAACGGAGGCCCCCAAGTTGAGCAGCTCTTACGAGCAAGAAACCAGCCTGCTCTTGCCGCAGCATGCGGAGTTCCGAGCGGCATTCCTGTCCCCAGGTGGATTGGCAAGGCTGGCAAAGCCCATGCACATCGGAGACTCGGGTGGGTTGGCAGCTTCTCTAAATTAGGGTCCATTCTGAGGCCCCTATTATCAGAGCCTTGTAGCAACCTGAGGTGGTGACCTTGCAGCAACATGATACGGTAAAATCAAGGTGGCCCCAATAATGTAGTTTTATGGTAGTCTCCTGGTAATCGGTTCCCCCTAACATTAACCGCCCCCCCTTCCTGAATAATTATAGACATCCTAAACCCTTTTTTTTACAGCAGGCCTCGTACACAGCAGCCCTAAACCCTAAACCCCAAATACTTATAGACATCCGAAATTCAAGGCCGAGCATTAATTATAGAAGGGCGGGGTTCGGGCATCAGGGTATGGGTTAGGCAGATCGATAGGAAAGGTGCAGCAAACCCGCAAACCTAGCACTCATGATAGCCTCAAGCCCCAAACCCTGAAACGCTCAGCCTTTAGCTTTAAGCTTGAACCAAACCTGAAGACCAAAGCCGGTAGCCTCAAGCCCCAAACCCTATAGCTCTAAGCCCTAAACACTACACCATACACCTTCAGCCCTGAGCCCTGAAGTCCTACGCCCTGCTCGCCCTGGTGCTTTTGGTTTAGTACTACTGTAGTCTTGGCTGTAATCAAACTCATACAATCCTGGCTCCCCCCAGTACTTCGAAATAACTTTCAACCGTAGGCCCTAAACCGCAAAATTCCGGTGTTGGGGATCTTTAATGTTCGAGGAGGCTTGGATACTCGGGGGAAGCGATTATCGTGGAAGCAACCTTATAGTATCCATGATTCAACCTCAACTCCCAGACGTGCAACATCCCAGCCTTGCGAGCAGCGAAGACACGCAGCTGGGCACGCTCCTGGATGGCATCACCTCAGTCCAAAGATTGTCCCCATGCGCGTCTCGTGCTTCCCCCGTTTTGTGTCAGATCTAGTTTCGACTCCTGTAGACTTTGCAGAACCCCATCTCCTAAATCTGAAGCATCTCTTGGATCTGGCAAACCGCCCGGGTCCTGGGCACAAACGATGGCAACCGTATTTACAGGACCGTTGAGAACTTTGAGATAACCCATGATGGCGGCGTGTCCGCCCAGCAACACAGATAACAAAAGAGTAATCTTGCACTACCCCGACATGTC